AGCATTATCACTTTTCATTTCTTTACTACACTTTCATCTTTGTTGGCCAATACCCTCTTTCAATGATCTATTTTTGTAAAACATCACATGGATTTATTACTGGCAGACAAGTAGTCAATGCAACTGCAAGCTTTGCTGTCTGTATATGAATTGAGTAACAGATGCACAGAGACCAATCACCAACAGACTTTGAATGAAGACACACGACTGGTCACTGATCATGATGTGCATCTGTTATTTATGTAGTAATTCGTGGACCGAAGAGCTAGCAGCAAAGTTTGTGTTTTATGCAGTTAGTTACTCACAGTTAGTATACCATAGTAATAGAAATTTGAATCCTGTTCTTAGGGGACTGGTGTCTTTTAACTAAGCCATGGTAACTAAAATTCATGCATATTGGAACTATTTCGAAGAAAGAATTTTCTGCATATTTTTATACTTGAAAAATTTTTATTAATTATCTCTTAACCTTCTCTGTAACAAAAGTGTATATAAATTAAAATTTCAACTACTTTATGTCTTTAAGTATTTTTAAAAATTCTGACCTGGTTAACATTACAATTATTGTTATAATTTATCAAACAATATAAAAATGTTTAAATTAAAAGTAAAAAATTATCAAAAATTATTTCAATCTGATGAAGGCATCTATTTTCTTTTCATTTACAGCATATATCCTTATTTGAGTATTACTTACTGCTGGAATGAGACAGCTGTTAGGATCAGTAGCATTCCTGTTTATTCGGTAGATATAGTTAGTTCCTGAGAGAACATGTTCATATGCCCAAATAGATACGAATGGGAGAAATTTTATTATAGCAACGCCACTTATTCATGAGTTCTTTCCAAGTTATTTGTCAAAACCTTCTTTCATTTTTGTTGAAAACAAGGAATTGGAAACCTTTGATTTGCAAAATTACTTGTTTCCCAGTCATTAGTATGTTCACTTTCTTATTTTACAGGAAGCATAACAAAAAAGGCTTTACCAAGACATGTCAGCTCCGGGGCAGCCACATACACCTGTGCTGGTTGTGTAATGAGCACCTCCTGAGGGCAGTGTTCACATTGCGCTCTATTTGAGTGGCATGAGCTGGAACTGTGCAGTGTACAACTTACACAGCGGTATGTGATGGCCTTATAAATTATACCTGCTTTTTTTTTTTTTAACTTAGCTGCAACCTATCTAATCCAGTATGAAATGAAGTATACAAAATTTTCTGTCTCTACCTACCATTTACACACATTGATAATGATATCACAATTAACATATCAAATATTTAATGGCATGGCTGTACATAGGGAACAGATGTACTAATAAGGTAAAAATAATAAAATCATTATTTTTAGAAACCAGGAGTCCTTTGAAAGGTGAAGTGTGATGTCAACAAGGCATCTAACTCCATGCCAAGCTCAATATCTGCCAAGAGTCATTTCATTTCCATGGTGGTTCTCTATTTCTTTAAGACTTGGAATCCCAGATGGCACATCTATTTTCTTGAGCAGTGTCATTAATTTACTTAACTTATGAATGCTAATTACATGTTTCTGAATGCATCGAATCTATCAGCAATTGCAATGGTCTTTTGAATTAAGCATGTGGTAAAGGGGAACTAGTCCTGGCAATACCCTACAGAGCCTGCTCTTCTCTTGGCAAGATGAAGAAGCCTAATATATACTGATACATACTTTTAAGCAATAATTTATAACCAGAGAACATCAGACAATGGAAGCAAAAGTTTTGATTGGTCCGTGCTCCAATCTGAAATAATTCTGCACAAATGTCAATACAGTAAATTAAATAATCATTTATTGCATGTAATTATGATTCTAGAAGCCCCTACTCTATGTTAGGTGGAGCCTATAATATTTTCTATGCGTTGAATGTGACAAACAGCAACTATAGCCACAAAGAGCCATTTCTACAATTCAGTGACAAAAATGGAAAGTATGCCCCATCTTCAATCAGTCACAATTTTGTCTTTGAACGGCAACACCAATAGTAGCATCAATATCAGTTATGAAGGACAAACTATCTATAATGACAATTAACTACAAGTTCATAATTTTTTTGAATAAATGTTAATAAGATACTAATTTCCAGTTTGGGGGTGTAATGAGAATAAAGTGTAAACAGCCTTTCATTAAAATAGCTAACATTTATATATCATGTCATAAGTGCTTTCACATTTGTAATTTTATTTTATCTTTCCAATAATTTTATTTTTATGTTAGGTTGAGAAAGAATTGATATCTGTGTTTTACAGATCAGAGAACTAAGGATCAGAGGAGTTTAGTAACTTGCTAAGGCTGCGTGTTAGATAACCTTAGGCCTGAAACTAAATCTCACATGCTTTCCTTCTCTACTAAACTATTTTTACCAGATGTTGGGATGGTAAACCTGTCATTCTTCCATTCTGGGTCCAACACACAGAATCCTAACTGTGCATAAGAATCACCTGCTGCCCTTGATTAGAATGCAGATTCCTAGGTCTCCACCCCAGAGAAGTCTGGGTGGTGGTGGTGGTGGTGGTGGTGGTGGTGATTGTGCAGTGCTGCATAACCAGCATGCCACATAATTCAATTAAGATGGTCTGATATGTGGAATTAAACTAAAACCACCTAAAGGAGAACAAAGGGATGCTATTTATTCAGAGGTTCCTACGGCAAGAGTCAGTCACCAACACTTGCCTTTGCAGAGGCTCAACTGTGGGCAGGGGAGAGGGAAAGCTTTAGACATGAGAAAAAGAAAAGCCCCAAGTATGCTCTGAGAGGAGGTTGGCATGGGAAAGCTGGAATTGGGCTACTAGAAGCCGGGGTGTTCTATGTGATCGGTTTGGGTTTCTCTGGTTGGTCCTGAGGTGGCAGTAGGGGTAAAAATAAGGAAGTTGGCAGTTGTTGACCACATCCTCACTGTTCTGGTCCCATTGCTACAGAGCTTGTGGTCCGGCTTCCTGGGCTGCTTATGGTGGCTCGGAGTTCTGTTGTCATACACCGTCTGGCCATTGTCCATCTCTATTCTGCCTGTCAGACCGCACCCTGAGAAACACACAGGGCTCTGATGGTGGTTTTCTCCAGACCTCCTTCCTCCCTTGAGCTTAAAGTGGCTCAACTGTAAGCTCCATGAATGGTTTAGACCATCTTTCAACACTCTGTTATTAGCACCTAGCCATATCAGGCACTCATCAGGCACTTAATAAAATCTTGCGAATGGATGAATGAATGATACATGAAAATATTTGATACCGGCTGTTGGAACAAGAAAATGAACTTTCTGGTGTAGCACTTGGACATCTTTATGTGATCAGACTGGCTGTCACCAGAAACGCTGGTGGCTGCTCCTTCCAGCCACTGTGCTATAAATGCGGCAAAGTGAATCCTAGCACGATGGGGACTTCACTTTGGCCCCAGCTGCCCCCGGGTTTTCTCAAAGCTTCCAGGTTACCCGTGATGTGCCAGTCAGCCGCCGAGGCTGTGCTCTGCTGGGGATGGAATGGCGTTTGCGAGAAAACCGGGGCTACTTCTGGCGTTTTGAAGGCAACCTCCATCCCGGACCTTTAGTTTTGCTGTATCCTCTCCACACTTTTCCCTCTATTTCTCCCCACCTTCAGTGCCTGGGCTGGTGAGAGCTGCTGAGGGAGGGAAAAAGTGCACACACGCGTGCGCACACACACCCGCACACCCCTGTGTGGTCTTAAGACCCCCAGAATTCATCTGAGAAAACGCGCGCGTGCGTGTGCTTGGGAGAGAGAGAGCCGAGGACAGAGGAGCCAGCGGCCGGCGCGGGCGGTCTCCTCGGGGAAGCCGTCCCACCTGCTGCGGGGGACGCTCCGGGGAGGGGCCGCAGCCGCGCGCCCGCCCTCCCGCCCCGCCCGCC